CAATAGTAAGACCCCACAGATAGAAAGACGTTGGGTAATTTTCCCTCTTATTACAAGGTTAATAGGTTAATTTAGCTCAGAAAGTATATTTTGAAACATTTGTTTTAGATAAATATTTGAGTGAAAAAGTATAATTATCATTACTAAGATGAGATTTTGACTAACTGCCGTGGTGATTATGTTTTGCATCTTGTGCTTAATCTCTGACACCTCAAATCAATAACTCCATTTTATGTGAGGAATGATCCTGCTTCTAAACTGTTACTTGACACAAGCAACAATGTAAAATAAAGAATATTTCTATTCAACAAGCATACTGAGCTGGACCTGATTTTTGTTTGTAGACTTTACAGTTTATAAGTTAACGTCACGGATAGTATAGACAGTGATAGAAACTACCTTCAAGATCAAAGAATTACAAAAAAATATATTAGAATCAGAAATGTTTTCCCATTTGGTCCTATTACTGCATTTTATGTTTTGTTTTGTTTTATCTCACAGTTTCGATTTCACCATAAATGCAGCAGGCAGTAATAAGACTGACACATGGTCTTTGTAGGTTTGAATTAATCTGCAGTGACCCTTTAAATTCTTTTTGATTTGAAATAAGTTGCTTTTCTAGGAAACTCCACCAACCCATAAACATTCTCTCCGAAGTCGTCAGTAGAGAAACAGGACTTCATTAGGCACCTCAGGCCTGCAGTAGTGTCTAGATTTACGGCTCCTTCATTTTCATCTCTAGAGCCATCTGCGTCTCCCTACGTGTTGTCTGCCCTTTGCAACCAGATAAGCATCAAAATATTTCAAGACTTCAATGCCTGATTAATTAGTAGAAAGAGAACTTTGGTTTAGACCCATTTGTTGGAGCATCCAGTGGAAGATAAAACATGACCTTGTGTTAAGAAAACTTATTCCCTCTTATCTATGATCCATATTTTTTTACAAAGCAAATCAGATGCTTTGAGAGTAAAAAAAGAACCACATCTCTCTTTGTGACACAGTGACGTTTCCAACTCTTTACTTTGACAAACTGGCTAATCATTCTCAAAATGAGCTCCATTGGGGTCAGTAAATGCAAGTTGAAGCAATTTGTGTGCATTTGCTTTTTGAAGGACTTGGACCCCAGAGCAGCCACTTTCTTGCAGAACAGCAGCTCGGATACTGTGATAGTCAGTAGTTTGAGGGGAACTTTGCTTCTGTTATATCAGAGCCTGAGTGGCTTGACAATAGTTTGTGAAAGGGTCAAAGTAACTGCTAAATCCATTCACAGTAGAGTGACTGCTTGTGGGGGGTGCTGCTACAAAGTAAAAACGGCCAACTGTGTTTTATGAAAATAGCACCAAGGCCGGGGGGGGGGGGGGGGGTATCACATAACACGCTTTTTTAGGATTGTAGTAGTGGCTACATGTGTCGAGGTTTTAAATGCACTTAAAATTTGAGTGGCCTCAAGTGTCTCCACTCATTTTGTGAATGAATGTGTTCTGTAGTGTTTGTGGATTTTTCACATGACTGTTTCTTGAGATTTTGTCAATGCAAATGAAAACCAGATAACCTGGAAATGAACACAGTTGCTGATTTACATGTTTGATAAACTGGTTTTCTTTGCACACAGGCCAGCAGTTTGCTACATGTCAGTTTACAGCCATGCTTTCAGTGTCGTAGATTTTTTAAGAACAAAATATGTTAATAAGCCAGGACTGAGTAGAGAGTGTAATTTTGGTAAACCTACCCTGCTTCATTGTTTTAGTGACAGTGAGCTAATCAGAGATCTCTCTGCTCTCCCCCCGCAGGCTTTGCAACAACGAGTGATATGTCTCTGTTGAGAGTTTCTGCTGAGTAGTAGATCCAGTATGTAGCAGAGGCAAACAAGTCCCTTCACGCCTGGGAACAATCCAACGTTGTAAGTGTCCTTTACTCATACATCTATATATATATATATATATATAGTGATACAGTTGAAATGATGTGCCTGTGCTCTCACATATTTTCACACCAACCTGGCCTCCTTGAGACTTCTAAGAGAAGATCCGACTTGCTGAGTCTGACCTGGGGTCACATTCATGCAATCTGTTGATGCCACCCAAGAGCTGCCGCAGACGGCACTGACTGACCATCTGACCGCTGACTGCTCGCTTATAAGAACGCCCCTTTATGCTATTTGTCTGTGATCATTAAACTGCCACTTCCCACTGCAGCCTGTTCATGACGTTTGACCATCCATCGAGGGTACTGCAGTTGGTGTCTGACCTGAAATACCCCCACTCCCACAACTGACCTTAGCAACCACCTGAATCCAACCTCAAAAGCATCCACTGTGTGACCTCTGCCATGGTCAAGCTTTGTTTTATGTCGCTAGTGGTAACAGATCGGCCTCTGTGCTAACCTCCACTTAGCAACAGTTTAAAAACAAATCTGTCTTTTGGGGCAGGGGAGGGGGTCCCCAGAGCCTTCGCCAGACATTATGAGCGTAGAAATACCCTCAGGCAACCCTTTTTTTTCTGTCCATCTCTGTCCATGCAGTCACCTTCTTCCATCAGTTAAGCATGGAGTACTGTAGCTTCATTCTCTTAAGCTGCTTATCTCTGTGGCAGCACAGTCAGGCATTGTTAATCTTGTCTTTTGTCTGACTTGGTCAGATTCCTCCCCAGGAAGGTTGTTAAATAAACACAAATACTGGAACCTGTCCGGACACGGGCAAAATGAGACTTGAGAAGGGAAGGTCCTGTCTATCTGTATCACTAGCAACTGACAACTGTAATGAGAATGACATATTGAACAGCCGATTTCATCCTTTTAAGTTAACCATACTATTGATAAACTGTAGTAGAGGGCATTTTGAACTTTAATCCAACAAGTAATGATGTCTCATTTTTGCTGATTTAAATTAAGGCTGAGCAGAATAAAGTTAACCAAGTAGTAACTATTTAGATTACCAATTAACCTTTTCGTCCAATATTAAGTACACTAGCTATTACATGAATGTATGAGTAGGGTCCATATTGCTTGAATTGTTTCTGTTTCTATCACATAGAGTTGAAATGAAACAGTATACAATAAGTAAGTCTGAGTTTGTTTAAGTCACTGCTCAACTAAACTCTAATCTCTGGTTTAGGTCAGTTACATTACATACAACATCTGGAGGGAATTCGCTTATGGCTCTGAGGAATAGTTTGAGCGTTTCCCAAACAGCCGAAGTCTTCAACCTGGGCCTCCACTTGGCTTCCGTTGTGTTTACCACAACACTGGTCTGCCCCAGTAACATGTAGTCCAAGGACAAACATAAAAGAGGCTTTTCAGGTCAAACTCGTATGTCAGGATGGCAGCCAACCTCCCCCTTTTATTTTTCTTGCCTGTTCCTCGTCTCACACAGATTGAACGTTTGGCTCACAAATGGATCTGTTTTGACAAACTGCAAAATGGGAGTCAGAGTCAGAATGTCAGCTGGAGCATGGCTATTGGTCAGGGTTGCTTTTTTCACCACATTTGGACAGCTTTCTCCCACTGCTGGTTCTTCTCTTGCTCTTTTTTCTTTGAGAGCACATGCTCGGCCCTCTGTCCAGCTGCCAGCTGCCACCCCAGAGCACAGCCAAATGAGGGCCCGCGCAGCCCCAACCTCAGCAGATGTTCCTGAGTGGACACTGGGGTGGAGAGGATGCGGGGGCAGTGCAGTCAGAGTGACACAAGTAGACAGAAGGGCAAAGAGAAAAAAAAAAAAGAAAAGAAAAAAAGCCACTGGCCTTGACCATTTTGTTTTGACTGACATGGATCAAGTGTATGCGTATCAAGTCTTGCAATATCTTTTGGTAAACCACACATCATTTTAGTTCCAGAATACAAAAATATACTTACATTTTTGTTTTGGACCTGAAAAAATAAATAAATAGATGAATAAATAGATACATACATACACATACATACATACATACATACATACATACATACATACATACATACA